TGAAACAGAGGAATCAGTGGAACACGTTATGATGATATGTACAGCATATGAAAGAGAAAGGGATCGACTTAAAGATGAATTACAATCCTTAGGAGTTAAAGAATTTTCATTAAGTAGTATTCTGAATGATGGTCCAAATGCACGAAAACAAATAAGTGCAATCATGACATTTCTTAAGAATTGTGCAATAATGAACAGAATATAAGATTTAGGTGAGAAACGGTACATTCTCTCCACACTCCATCACAGTAGGTGGCGGTATGCACCTATGAAGTTGGTTCGCAAGGCGAAAAAAGAAGAAGAAGAACCCCACCCGTATTTGTCCAAACTTATCAAATCAAGATTGGTAAAAGAGTTTTTGATCAAGTAGGGGTTTACACTACAGAGATGGTAGCAATATTATTAACTATCAGGTGGCTGGAGGATACTCGGCCAATGAATGCGGTGATATGTTCAGATTCATTCTCTGCATTATCAAGTCTTATCAGTGGAAGATCTTCAAGACAAGACATTTTGTATGAAATTCTTTCATGTATGTATAGAGTGAATAAGATAGGAATTAAGATAGGTTTCCTGTGGGTTCCAGCACATGTGGGAGTGCATGGAAATGAGGTTGCGGATCATTTAGCAAAACAGGCACTGAAATTATCACATATAGAAATTATTATACCACTAAGCAAAGAAGAAATTAAGGCTAAAATTAGAACAGCAATAAAAATTAGATGGCAAGAAGTTTGGAATAAGGAGGAGAGAGGAAGACATCTTTATCATATTCAAAATCAAGTTGGGGTTGAAAGAGTTAATTTTGGTAGTAGAAGAGAAGATACAATTATTACCAGACTTCGCATTGGCCATACTGCTTTAAATTCTTCTCTATATAAAATGAATAAGCATGAGTCTGGGAACTGTAGTCTGTGTGGATTACCAGAAACAGTAGAGCATGCACTATTACGTTGTTCTGCTTATGATAATGAAAGAGCATTTCTGTTGGAAGAATTAAAAGAAATAGGGATAGAAAATATGACACTTAAAACTTTGTTGAATAATGGCTTGAATCATTATAAAAAATATAATGCTTTAATGACATTCTTTAAAAAAAAAGTAGCTCTGTTTAACAGGATTTAGAAGGGTTTCATTTTTTTATTTATTTTTATTTATTTAGATCTTTCTAATCCATCAATGGTCCAC